GCCAAATACAGGAACAACTACTATGACAGGTGCCAGTATGACAATAGGTGCCACTACTGCTACAGCCAGTGCCACTTCCAATACAACAGGCACTACTACTGCTACCACAGGCACCACTACCACTGTGACTACTGCATCTACTATACAAAAAACAAGTTCCAACAGTACTTCTCAGAGCCTCTGGATAATGTCTTTTCCAAATGGGGATTAAAATGAGATATTCCAAAAGTTCTGAAATAAATAATCCTAGAAAGAAATGGTAACTACTCTGCTTGCACCCTCAAAAAACATTACACCAACCATGTGAAAATAAAAGAGTTAAGCAACAATATCAAGTCTCCCCTATTGTCATAGAGTAACTAGTTTGTTTAAAGTTAAGTCTCCCAAATGAAGATTAGTGCTGCCAGAAGTATGGTCTTGTGCCATCAGGCCAAAGAGGTAATTAGAAAAACATATACAATGAGATACCTGGACTTAAATTTTATGGTGATGAGGCTACAAGAGTAGACACAAGATGCCCTCTTCGATACTGCAACATAATCATGAAGTACAAAATAACATGTTTATAGGAATTAAAACTAAATAATCATATCTCCCAAAAATTCCTGACTACAGTGTGATCATTAGTTATAAACAAGATTTACATGAGATGTTCAATTCCAGAGGAGCAGTGCCTTTTTGGAAATCTAATTTTCTTACAGAGAATGAGGCACCAAGTCTTAGTATATGATAAGAAAATTTAGAAACAGCAGAAGACATAATGGTTATGTCACTGGACTCCCATGCAGTAGACCATGGTCCGAATCCCAGACCTGGCGGCTTAAAAACTCACACCAGCACATGTGTGTGTTTCCCCAAAATCCTGAGAGGAAAATGGAGTAGAAGGAATTGTGGCATGCCTTCTCCCCTGGGGGGTGATTTCTCACTTCCTGTCTCTCTGTCTCTGTCTGTCTCTCTGGTGAGCACATGTGTCCTATAACAAAAAGCTCTCTTTAAAAATCTGATAAGAAAGTACAATTTCTAAGCTAAGGAAGAGATAGAAAATGGCTTCAGATATCAGTAATTAAAGGATGAAGGTGTAGTATTCAAATTTTCTACTGCCTTTTTTAGTTAAGATGTTAATCAAAATTATTAGAATGTGATTGGCCTTGTTTTGTCATGACAGCTCTAACTTGTTATGTCATGAGAGCTCTGTCTTTTATTTTTGATTAAGAAGTGCAGAACTCCATTTTTGCATCAAGATTCTTAACTTTGTCATCACACCAAACGCTTACGAATTGAAGCCTCTCAAATAAACCTAAAATGATCCTAAATGTGTTTCCATGTGGTTAGTGCTCTTTCATTCCACGGATTCATGACCATGATATGGGGACTGTTTCACTAGTTGAGAAACAGCAATAATAAAGACAGTCAAAGTCATTGTCCTGGTGGAACTTATATTCTAGTGACACAGAGGGAAAAAAAAGTAAATACATGTAATCGAATTTAAGAAAGAAAATAGCTTTAAAAAATAATTTTTAAAATAGAGGTACTGAGTAGTGGTGATTGGTTGTGTTATATTTAGGGAGATGCTTTCTAAGAGAAATTTGAGGATAGACCTGCAGAATGTTAAGCATTAGCTAGATGAATTAAGAAAAGAGAAAGGAAGCAGATAAATCAAATTCACAATGAAACAAGTAATATTACAACAGACATAATAGAAATACAAAACATCATTAAAGGATACCATGAATGACTATATGCCAACAAATAAAAAAACCTGGATGAGATGGAAAAATTACTGAACACATATAATCTATCAAGATTGAATTAGGAAAATATAGAAAACCTGAATAAACCCATAACAAGCCATGAGATCAAATCAATAACAAGTAGCCTCCCAACAAAGAAAAGCCCAGATCCTGATGACTTCATTTCTGCATTCTACAAAACTTTTATAGAAGAGGTAACCCCATTCTACTCAAATTATTTCTTTTAAAAAAATTAGTTTACTTAATCTTATTCATTGTTTTCTTTTTTGAAGTTGACTAGAGAGAAACAGAAAGAGAGAAAGTAAGAGAGCAAGCTGCCAGTTCCAGGACTCAAACCATAGTCAGCCATGTGAGAGTCCAGCCGCTGTAAACACCATGCCACCTGCTGGCCCCATACTCAAATTATTTCTGTAGATCAAATTATTTCTAAAGGAAGGAACCCTCCTGAATTCATTTTATAAAGACTTCATCACCCTCATTCCCAAAACTGACAAGAAAGGAAAACTACTACCAATATCACTGAGGAATATAGACACAAAAATTCTCAACAAGATACTAGCAAATCATATCCAACAGCATATAGAAAAGATTATTCATCACAACAGGTAGGCTTTATTCCAGTGATGGATGTGTGGTTCAACATACACAAACCATAAACATAATATACCATATTATCAGAAAGAAAGATAAAAACCATATGATCATTTCAATTGATGCAGAAAAATATTTGACAAAATACAACATCACTTCATGATTAAGACACAGCAAAATCAGCATAAAAGGATTATTTTTCAGCATAATAAAAACCATATATGAAAAACCCATAGCTAACATTATACTGAAAGGAGAAAAACTGAAAGGTTTTCCAATAAAAACTGAAACAAAACAAGATTGTCCACTCTCTCTATGCCTTTTCAATATCATGCTGGAAGTCCTAGCCAATGCAATCAGACAAAAGAAAATAAATAAATAAAAGGCATTACAATAGGGATCAAAGAATTGAAATTATCTTTGTTTGCAGATGACATAATTGCACACATAGAAGACCCAAAGGTATCCTTGAAAAAGCTTCTCAAAGTAATAAATGAATACAGTAAAGTGGCAGGATTCAAAATTGACTTCAAAAAATCTATAGCATTTCTATATACAAACAACAACAGACAGAGGCAGAACTGAAGAAAGTAATCCCATAGCCACAAAAATATAGGATACCTTGGAATAAATCTAACCAAGGAAGTCAAGGACCGCTACAAGGAAAACCATGAAATCTTACAAAAGAAATTGAAAATTACACAAAAAAGTGGAAGGCCACCCCCATGTTCCTAGATTGGGAGCATATAATCAAAATGGCAATTCTACACAAATTAATCTACATATTTAATGCAATTCCCTATGAAATTACAAGAGACATTCTTCACAGATCTGGGAAAAGACAATCAGAATTTGTCTGTAATCATAAAAGATCCTGTATTGTCAAAGCCATCCTGCACAAGAAGAGTGGAGTAGGCGGTAACTCACTGCCTGATCCCAAAATATATTACAAAGCTGTGATAATCAAAACAGCATGGTATTGGCACAAAAACAGATATGGGGACCAATGGTATAGAATAGAGACTCCAGAAATAAACCCCAAAACATACAGTCAACTGTTCATTGACAAAGGGTAACAGTCAATCCAATGGGAAAAGGAAAACCTTTATAGGAAATGGTGCTGGAAAAACTGGGTATCCAACCATGTATTCACAGATATGTATATATCAGCTAAACTTGCTATTGAAAGTAATCAGATTATTTTAAAAAATTTGTAAATCAATAAAATGTGTGTGGGGGGGAAAGGAATGGAAAACAGCAGTAGACACCTGAAATAGTGAGGGAGAAGGGTGGGAAATGGCAGAAGGTCAGAAATAGGGGTAAAACATAAATATACATATGAAACTAGAAATGGAAAATTATTGATGATAACACATATGATTAAGCCATTATGCAGTATATTCTGGATAGGAAATCACATTTTGTATGCTGTGACAATGCTCAGGGAAAGAATATAAATTAATTAATTTTTAAAATGTTTCAGAAGAATAAATAAATAAATAAACAATATAAATAAATAAATAAACTGGGTATCCACTTGTAGAAAGATAAATCTGAGCCCCTCTTTCTCCCCATCAACAAAAATCAACTCAAAGTAGATCAAAGATTTAAACCTAACACCTCAAACTATTAAGCTACTGGCAGAAAACACTGGCAAAACTCTGGAAGACATTGGGGTAGGCAAAGACTTCTTAAATAAGACCTCCAAAGCACAGGAAATAATCCCAAAAGTGAACGACAGGCAAATGAGAACATGAAGTTTTCATAGAGGTAGCCACTACAGAAAGAAGCTATACTCCTAGGGCTGAAAGAAGAGAACGGAGTTATTAAAACATAGATTTCAGGAGTGGTCCCACAATGTGACAAGCAAACCTAAAAAAAAGGAAAACTTCTTACCTGATGCTGACGTCTCTGAATGTAAAGAGGGGCATTTTCGCACAAGATCTGGTACAGTAGAGGGGAATACTGGAAGGCAGGTCCTGGCATCTCTGAGAGGATTTAACAAGGCCATTTCTGTAGGTGTTGGAACAAAACACAAACAGAGCTAAACATTGATCAAAGTTCTTTTTATAACAGGTTAATTCAAATCCTCGTCCCTGAAGTGTCTACATCCTGAGTGGTCCTACATTCTCCTGGTTGTTATAGTTTCCCCTGAACTTTTATCCTTGGACAAGGACATATTAAGTAATGCTCAGAGAATTCTCTAGATTCTAAACAGAGTCCTCTCTGTTCTCATATATTAGCAACAAACTAGTTTCCCTCTTAGAATGACCAGACCCTAAGGAAGGTGCTCTTTTCGCTCTCACTTTTCTCTCTCACTTTAATTCTCACATGTGCATACCTGCACACTATCATCAATAAAGAA